AATACATTACTGTAATAGGTTTATAACACATTTCACACATAGAAAAAAGCTTGAAATAAAATGGATTCCTACATGAGAATGGATGCCAGACAAGTGAACTAGGGCTTGTTCATATGTGACTAATTTCTAACTCCTGCCAAACGCCCCTATAGCGCTTCACAGGCGTTTGGGAAGAGTTTTTAATGCTCCTCAAATGCTCCCCAAACACCCTATGCACGTTTTGAGGCATTTGCCAAGCGACCACACCACGAATGCCTATAATGAAGTTTAATAGTATTAACGCTCCAGAAACGCCTTGCAAACACCTGCCAGGCGTCACCATAGACTTGAATGGAAGGCTTCAACTCCTCCTGATTAGTCATGAGGCGTCAATTTTGCTGTGACGCGACGCTAACACTTCAGTGTGAAAAGCACTGTGTGCTGCCATGTGCAGAATTTTCATTTGAACGTTTGAACATTAAAAATGTTTCCCAAATGCCTAACACCTGCTAACAAAGCTAGTGTGAACTGAGCCTTGCATGATTGGACATATCAACACATGTTCGCATCTTTGAAAGTTTGCAATTGTATTGTGATGATGAGCACTATGTTCTTCTCTGTCTTCTTTGAGCCCAACTGCTTGATACATTCCTGAGTAGCAGCAGCGTCTACTAATCATCCTGCAGTTTTGGTCCTGATATTAAAGTTGATCTTTGTGGGTCGAACCACATTGAGGTTATCTTACCAGGATACATTTATAAGCATTTGTCCTGTTCCCACATTGAAAGAAATATACAGTAATAGCTCGGTTTACAAATGCCTCGGTTATTGTAATTTTCGGTTTACGAATGAAAATCCATTGAAAATAATGCCTCGGTTTACAAATTTTTTACAAATTTGTTTCACAATACGAAGTGTATGTCAGTGCTGATTTTTAAATGCATTTGCTGGCTTTTTTTTTTTTTCTTCACTATAGCTCACAGAATTAGCTGTCACTTTCCTCGGAGTTAACAGAAACTTTGTTTCTTTTAAGAAACTAAAAGGAAACATTGTTTCTCTTAACTCGGGGAAATAAACTAAAATAAAAGCTTCTTTCTTTTAGCTGGGGGGAAAGTGACAGCTGAATTTCTGAGCTATAATGAAGAAAAAAAAAAGCGGTAATTACATTTTAAAAAACCGGCACCATAAATAAAAAAAACGGTGTGGGGTCCCCCTACCATCCATACCAAGCCCTTTGGGTCTGGTATGGATTTTGAGGGGAACTCCCACGCCAAAAAAAAAAAAAAAAATGGCGTGGCGGTCCCCCCCAAAATCCATGCCAGACCCTTATCTGAACATGCAAGGAACCCCCCCTCCTGAACCATACCAGGCCACATGCCCTCAACTTGGGGGGTGCTCATTGATGTCACATGGGGGTGGGGTCACATGCATGATGTGCCCAGGTAACCCTGCCCCTTACATATTTAAGAACTGTCAAACCAACGGAGCAGGCAGAAGGCTGGAAGCAATCGTCGGGAAGCGGAGCCTTTTTTTTAAATAATTTTTTAGGTCGGGGGGTGGTGGCATTGTGATTGACATTGGATCTACTGTGGGGGACATTCTTTAGTTTTTTCTGTTAATAAAGGACTTGTCAAAGACCGTGTCCTGTCTTTTTTCACACACTTTTTGTTTTTTGTGAATGAGTAGGGGTACCATGTACCCCATACTCATTCACATTGGGGGGAGTGGGATCTGGGGGCCCGTTGTTAAAGGGGGATTCCAGATTCCGAAAAGCCCCCAGCCTGTAGACCCCCACACCCACCGGCCATGGTTGTGGGGAAGAGCCCCCCTGCCCCAAAGCACCCCCCCATGTTGAGGGCATGTGGCCTGGTATGGTTCAAGAGGGGGGGCACTGACAGCTGAATGTAAAGAATTGCCGGCAATTAAAAAAATTAGTTAGAAATCGGCATGGGGTCCCCCCTCCCATCCATACCAAGCCTTTTGAGTCTGGTATGGATTTTGAGGGGAACTCCCATGCCAAAATGTAAAAAAAAAATGGCATGGGGGTCCCCCCAAAATCCATACTAGACCCTTATCCGAGCATGCAGCCCAGCAGGTCAGGAAAAGGGGGGGGGGGACGGGGGGGACGAGCGAGCTTTCTGGTTACAGGCCTGCATCTATCTTCATGGGCTGTGTCTATTTGACTCACTTTTGAAAATTAATGTCTTTGCAACAATGACAGTAAATCAATGAAATACTCATGCCATTCTTTAATATTAGCTGACAGGTGGAAACCTAAAGGCGAAAATTCAAGGCATAGATTCTTTTAAGCAAGTCTCAGGGATACTCTGAGATTTGAGGTATCCGGGAATTGTTCATCAACATGAATTTCTTGTGCAGTATTAGGACTTTAAACAACTGTATCAATAATGCTAGGTGCTAACCAGACTGAAGTTGGAGAATTAATAGGAACATTAAAAATGCTAGCATTAAATTACTACTAAAATCATGAATTCATTTAGAAAAGTGGTCTCTAAACTGTGGCCCTTTGTTTGCCTTTATCCAGTCCTTGGGGCACTATTCCTCCCACTTATACGAGACACTATTCTGCCAACTGACACCAACACTGGGGCACAGTCCAGCCCCTCTAAAGTCTGAAGTACAATAAACTTGCCCTTTGTTTAGAACGTTTGGATACCCCTGATTTAGAAAGTAACTTACACACCTGTCCACCCATGTATGGTGAACTACGCATGCGCAACTCACTGTAGACATTCTGCAATGCCGAAGCCAAATGAACTCCTACTCATGCATAGGAGTGATGTCATATCAGCTCAGCCAATGAAAGTGGACAGCTACCGATACCCAGAAGCTGGCTGTTTGAAGATGTCAGTGGCTAGCGAGGAGCGCCAGGATGCTGTATCACTGGAGTCAAGGTGGGTATAGTTCCGCTAAAAGTTGAGAGTAATTACCACTAGCAGAAACAGCTCCTTGATATAAAACTTGTTGCTGTGCAGGCTGTGAGCAGATGACTTGAATCCTGTTAACCTTTTCCTGCCTTGATTTACCTGCTGGCGAGTGACCTCTTTGGCTACTAACACCCAGTGATCTGTGAGTACTCAGGCTAGCAGACCCTCCTCTTTCCAGCGTTACTCGTTGGCTCAGTGATGGCAGCCCATTCATAGCGGCCTACTAGGAGTTACTCCACCCTCATCCCTTCCTTCTGCCATGCTTCCTGCTGCTTGTTGCTGGAGGGAAGGCTCCTGCCCAATACTACTCCTAGCTGCAGGTCAGGTAACAGAGTATCCTCAATGCTGTCTTTGCCTCCTCTACACTGAGCCATCTGATGCCAAACCTCCTCTTTGGGCCATTGCTTGCTGCTTCTTCTCCAGTAGTAGTTCCTCTTCCACTTACCAATCTTCACATACTAGGCAAACTCCCTCCATGGGTGGCAGCAGCTTCTTCTTGGGTGGTGGAAGTTCAAGATGCTAACCTCAGCGACTTATAGGTCAGCGTATTACAACTCAGGAGCTCACAGATGGTGTTCTTTTGACAGCTTACACCCTTGACAGCTCATCACCCTTTTATAGGGTCCCAAGACACCTATAGAATCTTCTAAAAGGACAGCTGACCTTCTGCATGCTCCCCCCCATGAGATACAGGTGTGGGGGAGCCTAGAAACATGCCACTGCCACAATCCCATGAGGGAGACTGGGTCTTAATACAGGCTTCCCCCTTTTCCCTCTCATTCCTTTAGTTTATTTTCAATTTCTGAGGACCTCATATCTCATGTTACAGTGCTGCCTGCACACATTGAAAATGTGGTGTATTTCTTGTACTGACTCTGCCTCCCAAAACGCCTCCTCTCAGAGTCTCTGTAATTCAGAAGGCAGGTTCTGTGAAATGTGTGATGTACTACATAATACATTAAGAAGGTAGTAATGTCCTTAAAGAAAAAAAAAGTCTGTCTGCAAATTAACGTTATAATGTGCTAGCATGCACTGCATACTAACACATTATGGTATACTTACCTTAAAACAAAGCTCTCCAGCAATGCACTGTCACCACTAACAGGGCTTCCATCTTCACCCTGTCTTCCTTCCGGGTTCACGGGCCCCAGCCCAATGAATGGCCAAGCTGCGATGGTGTCACCCCCAGGCATGCTGGCACAGAGCTCTGAAGGGACGGCATAGGTATGCTGTCCCTTCAGATCGGATGCACCGGTGACGTCACTGGCTGCATCTCGTGTGAATATCTTGTAAACCATGCAAGTATAAGAGATATTCATTGTACCTACAGGTAAGCCTTATTATAGGCCTACTTGTAGGTACAAGTAAAAACCGGACTTGACTACCACTTTAAATTTCATGCAACAGAATGTTGCTTATTACAAATACTGTTCACAGCACAGGGTAGCCTATAAACCCTCTACCTTTTGCACGTGAAAACTACGCTTCTACAGGTGTCCCTTTCTATGCCTGTCCATGCCTTTCTGTTTTGCCTGTGGCATCATCCTTTCTGAATAGCAACAGCTGAATCAACATAAGCCCCAAATATCCACCTTTCAAAAATGTTATCAAAACTTTCCATCCTTCTTTATAACTCTGTGTTAAACATGAAAATATGCAAAGAATGTAATAACCCAGTGTATAATGCAGTCTGTACTGTTAGAAAAGGTTAAAATCCAGCAACACACAGCGCTGTAATTGGGTGAAGTTAACCCTTGTGTGTGCACATTTGATTCTGAGTCCCTGTGAAAAGGGGAAATATCAAACTAAGTGCCCACTGCATTGTTGCATTGAGACACTAGACGCCCCATCAGCCACCCATCATTTCTTCATCATCTCAACATTAATGATCTATGTAACACAGACAGCATGGAGGTACCATGCCTGGAAAAGGGACTGGAGAAGTCTGAAAAGTTGGATTTTTAAATCTGTTCAATCAATGATATCACTTTAAAGTTACACTTTCTCTTTCAATCTTGTCTATAATTGTACAGCAATCTAATTCAGAGGCGAAGAATAAAATCTTGCACTTACCAGCAGCACGATCATCCATCCTGGGCGATGCCAGTTCTGGGAAGGTGACCAGCACCCTGTCATCCTTTACCGTCTCCTGCCACGAGTTCCCTCATGACCCAGGATAGTGGTGGGAAAGGGGAGGAGGGAGGTGAGTCCTGTGTGCCAGCCTGAGCATAAGCTGGGTCTGTGCCTGTAAAATATGTGAGTCCTCCCCTCTCTCTCTCTTCTCCATCTCTATTTCTGTCTCTCTCTTATTCCATCCCCCATCTCTTTTTCTCTTTCCTTCTCTCAGCCCTATTTACTTAAAGTGGAATACCAGCCAAAATGTGATTTTAGTTTAGCATGAAATGGGAAGGATTAGAAACTGACAGATGTTTCCTGCTTTCAGTTTCCTCTTTGGGGATTTTTTCCTAATTTCCTGTGTGGTCACTGGGACAGGAAGTGAACAGAGCTTGCTTGCTGAAATTTTGGAGTCTTGGATAATGTACATCACTTTCTAGATCAGAGCCAGCTGAAAGGATGGGAGAAAATTGTATCTATATATACACACACAATATATTGCCAAAAGTATTGGGATGTCTGCCTTTACCCACACATGAACTTTACTGGCATCCCAGTCTTAGTCCGTAGGGTTCAATATTGAGTTGGCCCACCCTTTGCAGCTATAACAGCTTCAACTCTTCTTGGAAGGCTGTCCACAAGGTTTAGGAGTGTGTCTATGGGAATGTTTAGCCATTCTCCCAGAATAGCATTTGAGAGGTCATGCAGTGATGTTGGACGAGAAGTCCTGGCTCGCAGTCTCCGCTCTAATTCATCCCAAAGGTGTTCTATCGGGTTGAGATCAGGACTCTGTGCAGGACAGTCAAGTTTCTCCATGTCTTTATGGACCTTGCTTTGTGCACTGGTGCGCAGTCATGTTGGAACAGGAAGGGGCCATCCCCAAACTGTTCCCACAAAGTTGGGAGCCTGAAATTGTCCAAAATGTCTTGGTATGCTGACGCCTCAAGAGTTCCCTTCACTGGAACTAAGGGGCTAAACCCAATCCCTGGAAAATAACCACACACCATAATCCCCCCAGCACCAAACTTTACATTTGGCACAATGCAGCCAGGCATGTACCGTTCTCCTGGCAACCGCTGAACCCAGATACATTCATCAGATTGCCAGAGAAGCGTGATTTGACACTCCAGAGAACATGTCTCCACTGCTCTAGAGTTCAGTAGCAGCATGCTTTACACCACTGCATCCAATGCTTTGCATTGCACTTGGTGATGTAAGACTTGAATACAGCTGCTTGGCCATGGAAATCCATTCCATGAAGCTTTCTACACACTGATGTGCTAATTTGGAGGCCACACAAAGTTTGGAGGTCTTTATCTGGAGGTGATTGGAACACCTGAATCCAATGATTTGGAGGGGTGTCCCAATACTTTTGGCAATATAGTGTGTATATCTATCTATCTATCTATATATATATATATAGAGAGAGAGAGAGAGAGAGAGAGAGAGAGAGAGAGAGAGAGAGAGAGAGAGAAAGCATGGGCTGGAGTCTCTCTGTATATAATCTCTTTGTATGTTGAGGGTTCCTTTATATTTATATTTTCTCTTCTATTCAATGAATTGTATGTGTGGGAATAGAGTACAGTTCGGTTCATGCTGCCATGCAGTGTTTTCTGCTAGGTGGAGAGCGTGATCCTATGACTGGTAATCTGTGTAGAAGGTGAAAATCTCTTCAGAATGTGTGGCTGGTGTATAAAGAAGCCATTCAGGATGGCAGAGCAGTTGGTGCCTGGCACAGAGTGTGTAATTTATGCCTCGTACAGACTGCCTTTCCATTTACCCATATGCTACAAAAAGTATAAGTTCTCTGTATGCCTGGCCACCACCACAGGGCTGTCCATCCTGTATCCCGAGGGGCTCTCTCCAAGTGTCATTCCATGACAGCATAAAATAAAAAAACTGTATGAAAACTGGAAGAAAGAAAAATACATGTTGGACAACCTTCCAAAGTGAGAAAGAGGAACACTTTTCTATTCTAATGTTTTGAGGAGTAACTGCGGGCTGCACTCCCAGTCACTTTGGCCAAAAAGGGATGGTCAATATTTCTATGCAGAAAGCAGAGTTGTACTTCCCTCCTCTCCGAGACTGCAGATCAGGATACATTTTATTAACACTATTTGCAGTACACCCAATATTCTGAATATCAATATCTGATAATGGTGACGTCAAAGTATAATTGCAACTGTATTTTTAGTGTACGATGGGTCACTAATACTATAGGGACATCAGGCAATGTTGCTGGAAATACAAGCAAACCTGTAGAAAGTCACAAATTACTTCTGGGGAACTGGGATTTTTACAGGGCAGGCCTGTAAGTGTATTCCCAGCAGCTGGAATTTTGACACAGCATCTACTGAAATCGAGAAATACCTCATGGACCGCACTGTTTCCTTTTCCTGGCATAATCAGTGCAAGGCTGGTGGCAGTGTAAGATTGTATACACCATGAAAAAATAGCCCACAAATGACATTTCTCCCTTTGGGATTAAATTCCTTATTGTCAAACTACAGATTCATCCAATGCTCTGCACAATTCATGACAATCTTGACAATTCCCCATAGGTGTTCTATTGGGTTCAGATCAGAAGACATACTTGGCCACTGAATCACTTTCATCCTGTTCTTCAGCAATACAACAGTGGTCTTAGATGTGTTTTGGATCATTGTCATGTTGGAAAAGTGCACGATAACCAAGGGCACGGAGGGACAGTAGTATCTTCTTTATCAATATAGAGCAGTACATCTGTGAATTCATGATACCATCAATGAAATGCAGCTCCCCAACACCAGCAGCACTCATGCAGCCCCACAGAAGGACACTGCCACCACCATGTCTCACTGTGGGCACCGTGCATTTTTCTTTGTACTCCTCACCTTTGCGACGCCATACAGTTTCCAAGCCATCAGTTTTGTGTGTGCAAATTAACAAATCTTGTTTGCATTCAATGGCCCTCATTTGTGGGAGTATTTTGTAGCATAGTGTCCCATAAAAATGTTGATTCTGAAAGGAAAGGAAAGGTTTTCTGACAAATCTGTTTGGGGTGTACTCATTTATGCTGAGCACTGAATACACTATATTGCCAAAAGTATTGGGACATCTCTCCAAATCATTGCTTTCAGGTGTTCCAATCACCTCCATGGCCACAGGTGTATAAAATCAAGCACCTAGGCATGTAGACTGCTTCTACAAACATTTGTGAAAGAATGGGTTACTCTCGGGAGCTCAGTGAATTCAAGTGTGGCACCGTGATAGGTTGCCACTTGTGCAATAAGTCTATCCATGAAATTTCCTTGCTACTAAATATTCATGGTCAACTGTTAGTGGTAATATAACAAAGTGGAAGGAACTGGGAACAACAGCAACTCAGCCACAAAGTGGTAGGCCATATAAAATGACAGAGCGAGGTAAGCGCATGCTGAAACACACAGTGCACAGAAGTCGCCAACTGTCTGCAGAGTCAATAGCTAAAGACCTCCAAACTTCATGTGGCCTTCAGATTAGCACAACAAGAGTGCATAGAGAGCTTCAGGAAATGGGTTTCCATGACCAAGCAGCTGCATCGAAGACTTACATCACCAAGTTTAACGTAAAGCGTCAAATGCAGTGGCGTAAAGCGAGCCACCACTGGACTCTAGAATTGTGGAGAGGTGTTCTCTGGAGTGATGAATCATGCTTCTATGTCTGGCAATCCAAAGATGTCTGGGTTTGGCGGTTGCTAGAAGAACATTTGTCTGGGGAGATTATGGTGTGGGGTTGTTTCTCAGGGGTTGGGCTTGGCCCCTTAGTTCCAGTAAAGGGAACTCTTAAGGCGTCAGCACACCAAGACATTTTGGACAATTTCATGCTTCCATGAGGATGGCCCTTTCCTGTTCCAACATGACTGCGCACCAGTGCATGAAGCAAGATCCATAAAGACAAGGGTGAGCGAGTTTGAGGTGGAGGAACTTGACTGGCCTGCACACAGTCCTGACCTCAACCCGACAGAGCACCTTTGGGATGAATTAGAGCGAGCCAGGCCTTCTTGTCCGACATCAGTGCCTGACCTCACAAATGCGCTTTTGGAAGAATAGTCAAACATTCCCATAGACACCATGGCCGAATCTAGGGGGGTACTGGGGTGGGCTGTACCCCCCCCCCAGATTTCAGTTGTGCCCCCCCAAGCTGGGTGCCCCCTATGTACACTATGCCCATGACCACTGAGCTTCCCCCTCATCCCCGCACTCAGAACTAGCTGCAGTGAACTACAGTAAACAGTCTGGACAGGAGAAGTGACAGTGGCAGAGAAGAGAGAGTGTGAAGGAGGTGCGGGCTTCTCTGTGATCTCCTGCTGTCATAACAGCGATCCTCCATATAGAAGGTTACACAGGATCGCTCTTAGATATGACGGTATACGGCTTGACTACCCACCCCCATCTCCTCCAAAGTCTGCTAAACTCCTGGTAATGTGGATAAGGGCGGGTAATCAAGTCATCGAAGGATCTAAGAGCAATCTTGTGTAACCTGCTGCATGGAGGACAGAAGGGAGATCATAGAGAACCTGCATTCCTCACTACTCCTGTAGTTCCCACATGTAAGATTGGGGGAGGGGGAGCTTGTGAAGTAGGGGTGGCTGTTTGTGCTGGTAAGGGTAATTGTGGGGGAATGTGTTAGTAGGCAGGATTGGGGAGGATTTGTGTTAGAAGGGGGAAATGGGGGGTGGGGGATTACTGCTAGGAGGGGGGAATAGGGGAAGATTAGTGCTAAGAGGGGGGGGATTTGTGCTAGGAGGGAGGATTTGGTGGGGACAGAGATTTGTGCCGGGAAGGATAATATGCAGGTGGTTGTGCTAGGAGTGGGGGTTTTGGGGGGGAAATTGTACTAGGAGGGGGGATGTGGGTAATTTGTACAGGTAAGGGGGATTTGGGGGCCGATATGTACTAGGAGGGCTGATTAAGGGGGGGAGGATTTGTACTAAGAGGATTGGGGAGGACGATTTGTACTAAGAGGCGGTATTTGGGGGGAGGATTTGTGCTAGGAGGGGG